TCAAAATTTAAAAGTAGCAAGTAAGCAAGTTGTTTTTCTTATAATTTATATAGTAAACTGCTAGATATAAATAAACAAAGAAACTGTGGTTGTAATTGAACTTTTTTAGTCAAAACACTCGATGAAATAACTGCACTTATATACGACTTAAATATTTTTGAGTACTGTTAAATTGAGTCAAAGTTGGAGAGTTTGAAAATTGAAAAGAAATCGTTGAATCAAAATTAAAAAAGTAACTGACTTTGTGCTGCACTAATGTTTTTTGAGATAATTAGTGTGTCTCTATTTCTGTATTGCATAATATTATTGAAGTGAAAAGATAAATAATTACAATTATTAGAAAAATTATGTTTTTATTTGTTTCACTTTGTTGCATCTTCCTTTCTCTTTCTGATTTGGTAAACACAGTGTCCCAAAATGATCGAACAAAATTCACATTTTTTTCCAGTTCAAACTTTAAAAAATTGCTGAAACTGATAAATTAGTAAATAGAAACTGTCACTTTTCTGCAATATTTTCTATTTTTTTGAGCCATGTTTGACAGACCAATAACATTACCGATAGTTTTTTTAATAGGACGCTCCATATTTTATGGCAGTCATTAAAAAATGGAGGTATTAAATGAAAACAATAATTTAGTGCTACTTTTTATTTTATTACAGCACATGTTCAAAGTAGCTCCCTTTAACCATTGCACCATGCCCAATTCGGAGTTCAAAATTATCATTTACCTACATTTTGAACATTTGGTGTTATGTTTCGAACTTCTTCTCTGATACGACTTTTCAAACCTTCGATAGTGTCTGTTCACAAACATATTGCGTTTTAAATAGCCCCACAAAAAAAAATCTAGTGGGGTTAAGTCAGGGGAGCCTGGTGGCCCTTTAAGCGGCTCTCTTCTACCCATCCGTCGATTTGGGAAAACTTATAGTAATTTCTTACATCGAGGCGAAAATGAAAATGAGGCACCATCTTGTTGGAACCAGACATGACCAGCAGGCATATCGTGCTCATTAGGATTAAGATAAATAAATCCCGGGCCTGAAATCAGTTGAAAACGCAAAAAATCAAAATAAATGTCGCCTGTCAAGTTGCCCTCAAAGAAATAAGGTCCCAGTATGCGATTTCCTACTATTCCAGCTCAAACATTCACTTTTTCCGGCCGTTGTGAATGTCATTATTGCATTCAATGCGGATTTTCTAGGTTCCAAAACCTAGTATTTTGCCTGTTCCGTTTAAGCAAAAAGTTGCTTCGTCAGTGAAAATTATGTAACTTTTTCAGTTGAGTTATCTTTCAAATAAACTAATATCCTCGCAAAACTGTAATCTTCTGTCTGTGTCATCTGCCCATAGTTCTTGTAAGAGGTTAACTTTGTAAGGATGCCACTTTTGAGACTTCAGAGTGCTTCCACAAGTTGAAGTTGACTGAGATAGATCTAATGGATTAGTGAGAATTTTCAGTAACGGCGAGCATCTCATTTTGACAGTCATTTCGCCTTCCTGATCCAGGTACAATAACAAATGTAACTTATACAGGGTGGTCCTTAAGTAATTATACATAGAAGTATGGTAGATTTATGACTTTAAAATATTACGATTTGAGCCAACTTGCCTTAACAAAATATTGACAATAAGAATGATACAGGGTGCTAAAAGTGAAATTTCAAAATTTATTTTTCGCAATAACTTGAACGTTTTCAGACATTTATACAAAAAAATTTTATCTGGGGGTTTTTTGGTATGAGAAATCATAATTTGGTATCTAATTTAATGTTTCTTTTAGAGGGCGCCACATAAGCCACATGTGTGGCATAAATGTACGCTAAACTGTTTTGCCCATCAAGGTAGAGCTCTTTTGGGAAAATAATATTAAAGGCAGGGCATTATAAGAAGAAAAATGTATACTTGTTAACAACCTCTAAACTTAACAGTTTTCAAGAATTTTAAAAATCGCCTGCATAATTCTTCTTTAATTTATTACCAGAAATATTAACGTAGAAGTCGTATCATGTTTTTACATCAACAGGATGAATATTAACGTAATGTAGGAGTTTTAAAAAATTTAAAAAATTAAATGAAAGCAGTTAAATTACAAGTTTAATAAACATAATTAGAAATGAATTGTACACATATTAAGAAAAGAAAAAACTATGCTAACTAACATTACAAGTTTAATTATATCAAAGTAAGTGTTCGATATGTCCACCATTCTCTTCGATGCATTTATCCATACGTTCCATAAAAGATGGCCTCATAACAAATAACATGATTGGTCCAAAAGAAACTGCAATTGCATTTATTTCTTCCCAAAGTTGGTTGCGAGTATTTATGGGACTTTTATAAACAAGTTGTTTCATTGCGCCCCGTACGCCAAAATCGAGAGAGTTAAAGTCTGGGCTACGTGCTGGCCAAGGGAAATGACTACCACGACCAATTCAGCGTTTAGGAAAGTTGGTCTTTAAATATGTTCTGACTTCTCTCATATAATGAGGAGGTGCACCATCTTGTATAATCCACATATTTTGCCTGAAATTTAGTGACAATTCTTCCAAACGATCAATGAAGTCATTTTGTAAAAAATGTAAGTAGTTCTCACCTTTCAAAGTATGTGGGAAATCGTATGGCCCAAAAAAATGGTCACCAATGATGCCACACCATACATCTATTTTGAATTCGTGTTGAAAATGTTTATTACTTAAATTAAAAATACCACGGCGGCTAAATGTTGCCTCGTCCGTAAATAATACTCTATTAATAAAAGTAGGTGGGGTCAAGATTTTGGCTATTTCGGATATCACTTGCAAATTGGTATCTTAATGGTAGATCTGCTGGCAATAAATTTTGCACAGGCGTAAAATGGTAGGGGTGATATTTATCGAGGTTTAGTCTTTTTAAAACTGAGGTTTTACTAATTCCTAAAGCTGAAGATAACTTCATGTACTAACTTGAAGTTCATCTGCAACGTGAACCAATTTCATCCTCTTGATCAGGCGTAATGATTCTCTGTTGGCCTAAATTATCACGTTTAGGACGAAATGAACCACTTTCGCATAAATTCCTAAATAGATTTTCAAATGTTTGGTGATTAGGTTGCAGCTTGTTTGGATATGTTCTGAAATATTCCCATTTCGCAGCACGTCCGTTGAAATATTGCTGGCAGTAAATAGTAACCATATCTCTCATTTCTATATTAGAAAAATTATTGTCTCGGCATTTTCTGCTATTCCTTCATTATCCAAAATATTCAATTAGCACTTTTTCAAACATCATAGATTATGAAAACAAGAATGTTTAGCTGTTAAAATCATTCGTGATTTCCGTCTACTACGTTACTATTTCTCGTAATGAATTAAAGAATTATGCAGTCGATTTTTAAAATTCGATTATCTCGAACACCGTTAAGTTTAGAGGTTGTTAACAAGTATACATTTTCGTTCTTACACTGCCGTGCCTTTAATATTTTTTTCCCAAAAGAGGGCTACCTTGATGGGCAAAAAAGTTTAGTGTACATTTATGCCACACATGTGGCTTATGTGGCGCCCTCAAAAAGATACATTAAATTAGATACCAAATTATGATTTCTCATACCAGAAAACCCCCAGATAAAAACTTTTTGTATAAATGTCCAAAAATGTTCAAGTTATTGCGAAAAATAAATTTTTAAATTTCACTTTTAGCACCCTGTATCTTTCTTATTATCAATATTTTATTAAGGCAAGTTGACACAAATCGTAATATTTTAAAGTCACAAATCTATCATACTTCTATGTACAAGTACTTAAGGATCACCCTGTATAACTAATGATGCAAGTTATTTAGACATTTTCTTATGTCAAGCTATGCTGAAACATCAAAGTCAAAATATGTAATCTTAATCGCTATATATCAATTTACTTGTACAAGAAGAGATTTATAGTGTAACACTTGTTTATTTTTAAAGTATTGTAATAATACGAATCAATATATATTTAATTATGAAATGAAACTAGCGTGGTTGCTTTGAATCAAACCTCAGCTGTTCACACGAAATGCACCAGCCAAGTATTTATGTGCCCTTGAGATAATATAATTTATGGGTATATACAAAGATGTAGCTCAGGATGCCGAAACAGAAAGGGTGTTCTTTGAGACAGTGGTGCCTGGCCAGCGCCCGAATAAGGTCGATTATATCTGTGTGCTAGCTTGAATATATTTGTTTAATGATTTGTGAATTTGTGAGTAATATGCCATACTCGTTTATGTTTTTGAAAACCCCAGGGCATGCCACGTGTTCCCGGTCTTTATGGCTGTGGTTCCTTCAAAGTGTGTCTTGTAAGTTCTACGGGGTCTTGCATGCGCTTTGATTGACACATACTGGGTGGTGTTGAGTAGGTGGCATAATAATAATAGTGTGACTCACACACCCGGTAGTTGGGATGCTTACTAGTTGGCGTCCGGGGGAGCCTCGACTTATTTCAGGTGACACTAGCTAGTTGTTGAAGAAAGAATGATACACAGTTGCTAATTAATGTAATGGAAACGTATGGAAGGATATACCTTGAATCCTAAGGTTAGGGGGAGTGTAACCCCCCGGTGAGTTACCTATTTATTTGTTTTTATTGACAGAACAGTAATTTTGTTATTTGTTTCATATACCCTCTTAATTTCTGACGAATGACCCGGCTGTTGTCGAGATAACTGCTTTGTGATGACCCATGTATAAAAGGTAACAATACCGACAATAACATCTATTTTACAATAGAATTAAAATTGAATTAGGAAAAGAAATCTGACAAAACGAACGACACTTTGTGCTTTTATTGCACAGATATGCTTCTAACATCGTTAATGAACAGACCCACCGATTTGCGGTGTTATTAACAAACTTTTGTCTAATTAAAACCATATTAAAGCACAGATCCCACCGTCACGCACCGATACCAGCATAGGGACATATCTGAACTTTAAAAATAACACCGCGCGACTTGCGTGCACGATTTCATAAGCGCACAGCGAGTCGCGAAGCCTCGGTGTCTACTTGCCCTGAGATAATTGCTGCCAGTATGCTGTTCCCAAACGAACACATCTCATATTTCTTACCGAGTGTTCGTCCGTATCAGAACTCCATTTGAAATCGCGCGTTATTGTTAATGAAAATAATCGGACGGTGGATATGATTTCAAGTTATTGCCTTTGGTGATTTTATTTATTTGACTCTAGCATTGACTTTCGAGTAGTTGACAATGTGCGGTATAGTGAGGTAGAGGCGACAGTGGGATTTTATGAAATTTGGATTTAATAGTTGTGTGAGATGTTCATGTTTTTCGCGTTTCTCCTTCTATTATCAGGTATTTGCTTGATATCATTCATTATTCCAAAAAAAAAATGTAATTAAGTTAATGTAAACATATATATACAACTAGATTTAAAAAAGATTATTATGTTTCAAAAAGCGTTGACTTTTTTCTGTCTAATATTTAAGCTTTAACAAACTAAGCCTATAATAAATTTTAATTCATAATTTTTAAATGTTTTCCAGCAACTTTATTACTAACTTTGATATTATTAAACTGTATATTGTAAATCTTCTCCTGTTTATCATCAGTTAAAAGGTAGAAAAAATTAATGAAAGTGGCAGTAAATCAACTTAAAACCTGAAATTCTGGAGCAGAGAGTTCAAAATATATTTAATTCGTATTTATATTATCAATTTTTTATTGTCTGCAGATCCAATTTCTAAAAGTATTTGCATATGCAGGCCAACATGAATACGTTTTTTTTAATACTACTGTAGTTTTACTTTTAAGCTATAACTAGATTTAAAATTTTAATTATACACAAATGAGTTTCATTCATTGAACAGACCCAGTTATTATATGTAAAATAGAATTATCTTTTCTGATGTTAATTTTGAGACACTAAAACAGTGTTAACCAAAGTGGCCTATTTCTTATACATTAATTTGCAACAATAAGGATTACATTCCATCTCATTAATTCATTAAAATAAAGAATGATCTTGATTAAACTTAGCTTCTAGAAACTTGTCAAATTCAGAACTATTAGGAGGAAAATGTACACTGCAAAAAATTAACATACAATTTCTAAGCAAAATTTCCATATTCTGTAAATTTCTCATTAAATTAGCGAAAAAGTGTTTTTTTTTGTAGATTTGTAGATGCAAATGAACATTTTTTAAAATTTTCGGAAATAAGGTAAGAAGTATTCCCTAACATTAATTTCTGAGCAAAATTTCTATATTCTCTCAATTTTTCATTTACATTAGCGGAAAAAAAGTAGAAAATTCGCATATATAAATGAGTATTTTTGAAAACCAAAATAAACACAGTAAAAAATTATTCTTTAATCTCATATATTTTTAGTAAGTACGGAATGTTTATGAAATATGTATTTTTTTTAACATCCATAGTAATATTAATTAAAATTTATTATGTCGGAAATTTTTCTCTTTGATTTTCATACGTTTTAAGTAATTTCACCGATTTGTGTAATAAAAAACAAATTGAAGCAAATATTATTCCTTTTTTTCGCTGTGCATTTCAAATAATGCAAATGAAAATTATTTATCTTTTTAATCTAGAATATACGTAGGTAAAAAACTGTATAAATTTTCAAGAATTATCAGGTTCATGACATTCTAAATACTTATTTTTTTATTGCAATATGGTTACTTAAAAAGTCATTTAAATTTGAGAATAAAGCAATTTATTTAATATCATTGTATCAGTCCCAGTATTCTCTTTTCCAAATTTTCTAATCTACATTGAATACTTTTTAAAATGCAGATTTCGATTTTTTTTTTGCTGTAGTATTATTACGAACAAACATAATTATTTCCTGCTTGCAACAGCTTTTATAAAATCGCCAGATTAACAGATAATTAGCACTAGAATTATAAATTATTTCTTTAATTTCTTTTTAATCATTTTTCTAATTATTCTATGAATGGGTTGCAATGGAGTTGTCATTATGTTTGCATCCACAAATATAAGAGAAAAACAATTTTATATTGTAGGAAATGTATTGCTCCTTATTGCAAAAAACAAGCTGACCGCATGTAATGACCTATTATGTCATTTTTTTACAATTTTTTAAAACCATAAAGCTGATTTAAGCAAATTCAAAGTAAATATTAAAAAAAATCTTATCAAATGGAGTCAACGTTGCAGGAATATATCGTGGTGTAATCCAATATTAGTTAAGGCATGTATTACAGTGTATTTTTTGTCTGTGAGGTTTTATATCTTTTGCTTACCTAGCTTCCTGTTATTGAAGAACATTGCTTTAAGAGATATTTTTAAAAATATGTATTTTTTGAATTTGAATTATACTTAAAAAAACAGTCGAAACAGCTTTAATATAAATTTAATCCCAGTTAAATGACTAATAATTATTATTTTTGTCATAATAAATGTTGAATTTTTCTCGTTTAGTATCAAATTAATAGGTAATTCTTTCTTATTTGAACCACATTTTATTAAATTATTATTAATTAACCCACATTCCTCAGTATTAGTAAAAGTTATAATACCTGAATGTTGAATATGTACCACCTTTCATTTAAAGTTAAAACGTTGTTTTTTTTGCTATAAAATATATTTCTCAACTGGCCCACATTATCTAATACCATTGTTTGGCAAATAATAAATTAACATGTCCACATTTGACAAAGTTTTTTATTTTTGTACTATTTTGTTTTAGTAAAAAAATTGTATGCTATGTATTGGTAAAATAATTGAGTCTCATTGTTTATATTTTTTTGGTAATCAAACGATTTAATAAATCAATTAAATTAAATCAATTTGTCAAGATATCTCCAATACATTGTAAAATTTTTGAAGTTATCGCAATAGTTGAATATTCAAATGAAACGTTCAATGTATGCACTATTTCAAGTGTTCATCGTAAGTATATCCGAGGCACTATTTTTTATGAAGATTACTCTAAAGAAAATTTCCATTATTTTTTTGGTGCCATTAACATTTACTCCTCACTTGAATTCAAGGTTATTATATCTGTACAGAAACATAAAATTTGAATCAGTTTATTGACCTCTTCGGGCAATTTGTTAAAATGTAGATAAAATTTTTACCAAATCATTTTGTGAAATTACTAACTTGAATGTCAGTACTGAAACTTAACCGGATTAAAAAAAAAGTTGAAATAGAGCATATCAAAACCAACAATTATCTATATAATGATGAATAGTTAATCCATTCTACTCTCGTATGTATATAAAAAAGTACATGTCTAGCTCCATCTAAAAATAATTAGTTGTACATACTCATACATGGCAATCTATCGGATTTATACAGGGGCCGTTAAAATACCATGACAAGTTCCTATAAGAATGTTTCCTAGAGGGCTCCCCTACGGAGATACGGGAATTTTTTTAATACCTAACTTTTAAAATATTTTGTGTAATTTAATTATTTTTTAATATGATAGAGAAGACTCCTTAAAAATTGACCCATGAAAACAATTTGGCTTATTTGGTTTGCCAGAAACGGATGAAACTAGCACAATAATGCCAATTGTTTTTACACCCTTTACGATAAATACACAAATATAATATTTTTAGATAGCTTGAACTTTAAACTAAAAAAAGGCACTCTTGGTTGACATCGATAAAATTAACTGTTTTCCAGAAAAAAAAACAATTTTTGTTTATTATGATTTTTATTACATAATTTTGTATGTTGGTTCAACTTGAGTTCCTTCTAATGGTATGCATTCGCTAGCTCTACGAATTACATATTGTTGGTTCCTCCACAATGCTTCAACATTGGTCCTTATTTCGCGACAATGAAAATTAATTCTTTCTAATAAGTTTTCCTAGTATCGACTGGATTGGCATAGATTAAAGATTTAAATATCCCCATAAAAAAATCTAATGGATTTAAATCTGGTGATCGAGGAGGCCAAGCCACCGGTCCTCCTCTCCCTATCCAACGATTTTCGAAATGCCTGTGTAAGTGTTCTCGAACTACCAGACCAAAATGGGGTGGTGCTCCATCATGCATGAACCATATACCATGTCGTATTGCCAAAGGTAGGTCGTCTAAAAGTTCTGACAAGTTGTCTTGGAGAAATTCCAAATAAAGTTCCCCAGTCAACCTTATAGGCAATAAATACAAATGGTCCAATGAATTGTTGCCCGATGATTTCGGCCCATATGTTAATGGGTTCAAACTGATGCAGATGATGCGTCACAATAGAAGCATGCGGATTTTCTTCTGCCCATAAATGCAAATTATGGGAATTTATGATTATATTTTTACAAGATCCAGCTTCGTCCGTAAAGAGAATTAAACCGATGAAATTTGCATTGCTTCTGTACCTATCTAAAAGTCAGTATGAAAGTTCCATCCTTCGCGGAAAGTCTACAGGAAGAAGTGTATGGACTTTCTGTAGGCGATAAGGCTGCAATTGTTGCTCTTTAAGGACACTAAGAACCGTAGATTTTGGTCAATTAAACTGGGCAGCCATATTCCGGACAATTTTTGAAGGATCTGCTTCTACGGCATTTAGGATATCTTCTTCAGGGATCTCACCGCGACTGATTTGATTTCCACAATTGTATTTGGCTTTGGCAAGCATTTTTGTTAATAATTTTTATTTACTTTTACACATTTGTGTTCTTTTACTCTAAAAATAAAAAGTTTTCTAGCATTTGATCTTTCAAATTGTCGAAAATACTGTTAAGACTTTTTTGTTAATTTGAACTGTATATTTTCAATAAACGGGTTACTTTTAATTTTATTACAAGACAACAACAATGAACTGCATTAGCTACATTTTTAAGTCGTATATCAATAAATAAAATATTTACATAGATATCAGATTATTGTTGACAGTTTATGACAATTTATATGGTTATAGTTACAATTATTATCTCAACGTAATAAATATTGTGTCATAATCCATAAATTGTACGCTTATAAGGTTTGTTCTGGAGAGCATTGCTTATTAATCCCTATTTGTTGCAATTCATACATTATTATTGTGCATGTGTCGGTGTGTAGGTATTAGTTTGCAACTAGTTACAAAGCTACAACGAAAATATGAAACTTGCTTTCTTGTACAAGGTCTGTTCAGAAAATAACCGAACTTTTTTAATTACGGGCTTATGGAAATATTTAGTGATACCTATGTGGTTACGCATAACCATCTCTATAACTTCATGTTCTTTAATTGTTGATATCTCATTTAGTTTTCGCGATATTGTTATTTGAGTGCAATATGTTTAAGTGTTGGTGTTGATTTTTGAAATGTGAACTGGGGAAAACTTTCACGGAAACGTTTTATCCTTTCAAACAAAGTTACGG